CGGATGGGAGGAGGAAATGCTTCAATATAAGTTAGATAGATTTAGCAAATCGTTGGCGCTTCAATCCGCGGAAGTGGGTGGGTAGTGGGTTGAAGGATTTACCAAGACCACTCATACTGCCATTTCTTAGTTCCAGGGTATGCAGATACGTTCATCTCCCTAATTTTCCTATGATATGAATTAAAGGTCTGCAGCAGACCCTAAACTATTTTAGTAGTCCACTCCCAACCGTAAAAGCGCACAAGTGAGCTGCAGATTCCACTGACACAGGACTTTGTCTCCAGAGGTCAGCGAAGAACGTACTTCCAGCGCCATGCCTTTCTCTCGCACTCTTCTTGCCTAACCGTCTAATCCCATTTGCTTTTGACTACGTGACTGCCTATTGCTAGTGTCAACGGAAAGGTGTTATTTTATCAAGAGCATACGAGGGTTGGGATGAGGCATGTGAGGCGACATTATATTCCTCTCCTTTTTCCTCTCCGTCTCATCCTAGAGTGTAAACCTGCCTTGTAACAGGTTTGACAATACGTGGCATGACGTCTTTAGAACTCTCAGACAATTCAATTTACAGTCCACCGCCTGCACACGCACACAGAATGTATCGTCCGTAGTTTTCAGGCGAAGAGGTGGTGCGTGTCTCGGAAGTGTGGGGTGAGTCGTGAGCGAAAGTGTCGTTGGCCGACTACCAATGCCATGTACATTAGCATAGCGCTGTGGCATAAAAGTCGCTTCTCATCGCAAGTCATTCATCCACTGGGTCATTGAGTCGACCACCAATCGGGTAGCAAATAAGCCAAGAGGTGAAGAACAAGTTGTGAGTTTGTAAAGTAGGCAGAAGGGCACGGACCTGCCCGTACTTCTACATAAATAATGCGTGAACACACGCCGTCGCACCGACTTTGCAGGCTGCGGGAACTTTCCACTCACCTGAAGAATGGTCTAGCCTGCTGCATTATTTTGACACAATCCTACTTGCTTGTTTCAATGAAAAGTAAAAAGTTTGCTCATAATTTTTTAATTTGCATCTAAAAAGTCTCATAATTGACGTGCAAATTTCCTTTCAACCTTTTTTAGTGAAAAATATAAGTAAAACAGATAAGGTGTAAAATTATAAAATAATTTTCTGTTACTTTCATTCACGGCGCCTTAAATTTTGTATGATTTTCTATGAAATTTGTAATGAGTGGGCGAAATATGAGAGCTTAAGTGTATCACTGAGACACCTGAACGTCCGATCCACTGGTAGAACGAGACAATGTCACTAACCACATTGTATGGGACTATACCACCCACCATCTAAAATAGCATTTGGGAGAGTTTTTTTAGTCCTTGTAGTGATGGTAGCAGCACTTTTCAGTCAAGATGAGGCTCTCTCTTTTCCTCCTTCCCTTTCGCGTTTACTGCCACTACCACCGCTACACTAGGTCGGTCCCCTCCTCATCCTTCATTCACTTCCACTGAAGGGAATAAAGTAAGATGGCGCAGTCCTCGGAGTGCTTGTTTCTCACCTAAATAAAAGCATTTATCCCTTCGATTTGCATCACTATTATGGGGCCCTTTCAAAGCGAAAACCGCACTAATCACTGAAATTTTTGATTTAGAAAAGAGAGCCACCTTAACTCCTCTTGGTTCCTTTTCCACTTTTACTGTAAATTAAAGATTAGAGCCAAAGAATTTATACAGATTGGCATTTTCATATTTTTCTCTGAGGTAATTTTAAATTATAATTTTTACTGGCTTTTATCCACGCCGCACAAAGGTGTTCGGTATCTCAACTGTTCGAAGAACTATGTTGATAGTAAAACTGGGGAATGTTTGCCTCTACTCACCTGACGGTGGAGTGATGGAAATCGTTGAAACCTCCAAGAGCAGTCAGCGTTCCGAGGCTGATTGAGTAGCTGAAGAAGATCTGAGTGCCAGCATCCGACCACACCTAAGTGGATAAAAAGCATTATCAGAGTCCTCAATCAAATTTTTTGGAGAAAAATTAAACATAGCTAGTGGCGAAAAGCTCCCTTGTGTAGTTAGAGAGAAATTCTAGAGCCTTCAAACAGATCGAAAGCATTTTAGCTTAGCAGCAGTGTTATTTAAAACAGAATACAAGATCTGGTTAATTGCTTTCATGAACAAGACATAGCACAGTGAGATTCGATGCTGCTCTGTATTATTCCTGGCAATGCAAATTGATTGTCCGTGGTCAAGCTCCCTAGCATCAAATCCTAAAACAGGGGAACGGAAGACGAACACACACCTTAAAGGTCGCAAAACAGCATTAATTATACCAAAGGAGTGACCCCGGTCTAGCCATTCAGCAGCGCTAATTGTTTCAGTGATGCAAAATCCAACATTTATGAGAAAGGGAAAATCACTCCAGTCACTTTGTCTAAGCATTGACTAGCCATTAGCTATTGCATCAGTAGAGGCAGTAGCGCAACATCTGGCCCTGCCCCCGCCGAGACCGCTAAGATTATTCAGTCATGCCAATTCATGGTGGTCCAAATGCTCTCCATGCATAATGAATCTATCAAGGAGAGAGGTGGGTGGAATGGGATTTCTTCACCTCAAATGAGGCGAGCGCCTCCCATTTTGGTTCCATGTAGTAGAGGATGCCCTTCTTTGCGCCCTCTAGCGTCGCTGTGCGGCCGAGGAGGACGGCCATCAGTAAAAAGGGCGCGGTGGCGGTTATGTAGAGCACCTGAAATTTGTAACGGAGGAACTTTATGCATGCTTGACCCAAACTAAGCTTCAATTTAGTAGATATCATTTGTGCACCTTTCCTGAGGCCCGAATTCCACGAAATATGCAGAGAAATACGGTGACCCATGCCAGCAAAAGGCAAAGAGCCAATTCCCATCTCACAGTGCCGATTTCGTCAATCCCAGCGGAAATCCCCAATACGCGCCTCCTAAATTTCAAAAAGCAGATTTGACATTTTTAGCAAAGCCCAAAGAATTTTATCACTTGTACTCTTGTTTTGATATCAGTCTATGAAACCACTATTCGAAATGTTAGTATGGATAAGTCTGTTTTTCCTGACTCGAAATAGGCCTAGTTTACACTATCCCGGGCGAGTTTCAAAGCTGAAAATTGTGGATTGTTTAAATGGGGCAACAAAGGAGGACAGAAAGGTGCCCACCTCTCACTTTTACAGGTGGATAAACGTACTCCCAGTATTCGTTTACTGGATCAGTCTTGAGGGAGATATTGGAGTCAGCGATAGAGCTTGTGTTAGTGTTGGCGTCTACGCAGAATTTGGTATTCCAGAAGTTGCCACAATTAGACCAAGGTACGCTTCTTTGCATGGAGGCGAAGAGGTAGAAGAAGATCCATGCAAGGATTACATTGTAATAGGAGTTGAGGCAGAACAGAATGAATGTTCCTGCGTACCCAACGCCTGTAAAGCATTTTAACAGCTCATTTTTGGTCGCATGGAATCTGTGCAGGGGTGGAGAACTAGAACCTCGCTTACCCTTGAAGAGGGGGATGATCTCCCAAGCTTCAATGCCACCCCTTGACATAAGCTGACCAATGCTGACCTCCAGGAAGAACATTGGAATGCCAGTCACGAAGATGCTGATGAAGTAGGGAATCAGAAATGCGCCTAAGAAGGAGGGAGAATAATATCACTTCTTGGACACTAGTTTGACCAAATCGGTATTTCTGGTAGTATTGTTGCCTATTTTATTGCAGTATGGAGGTAGAGTTCGTCCACCATCGTTGAGGTTCTGTAATCCCTACACATAAGATTCTAGAGGTCTGTTGATTCTTCTTTAGCAGTCATTGCCAGCTTTTAATATTTTAGTGATTCTTGCTGCTTAATATCTTTAATTTCACTTCCATTATCAGCGAATTAGATATTGTTTTGCCGTAGTATATATTTAACTGCAAGACATTCTACTTGAAACTTTGCCTTCCTGTGAAACCCATTATATTTTATCCCTACAGTGTGCTAGCAGCAAATCTTCTTCCATACCAGTACGGTTTATTACGATGCCAAGGGAGACACGAGGAGCGAATCCGATCCATCAGGGCAAATTCCCCGCCCCCTTTGGGTGATCAGCTGAACCTTAAGGCTACAGAAGGAAGCGATCAGCTCTAGATCCACGGAGGTCTACTACAGAATGGTTATTGAAGTTGACTTCACCTTTGACGGTCACCCTAATCTCATAGTCAGCAAGCATGGAGACAAACAATGCTAAATTTAGCAGAAACACCAAGCAACACGTGATACTAGTCATACCCCATCCTCGGGCAGTACATAGCCAATGGATCTCCACTTAAATGCATCTCACAAGAAAACAAGACCCAAGTTCAAATGGAGTCCATGGGCTGTTGTATTTACATTGGGGTAAAATGTCTTTTTAGCCCCATGAACATTGACTGACAATCAGTCAAGGCTCATAGGTGTTTCTAAATCACTCACTATGTTGTGAGGGTGGAAGTAGATAATCTACCTAGGGGGAGTCTTAAGAACAATATCGAAATGTTTAACAGCACTTTAAACTACGTGAGCTCTTGAGTTTCTCGATTTTTGGTACTGCTGCGCCAGTATGGCTGGGGGAGCGTGGCTCAACACCTCAGGAGAGGCTTGAGGTGCTACCTAGGATGATTGCAGCTGCACACGAAAGATGTCGTCGTACCGATGTAATCCAAAAGCAGACCAAAGGGACTTTTCAGCATTTAAAATTCAGCCAATTAGGGAGCTGTGTGCTAGTTTCGCTTACGTGACCGCTTAAATTTGCCATCGCTCAGCGAAAAATTCTTCCAAATTGCGGTACCTGAAAAGCTGCACCTAGTAAAACGTCAGTAAAAGAATCGGCGCCTAATCCCTTTACACCTTATAAAAGTCGTGTACACTTTTTTCTTTCTATCAAAAATATCTAAGAGAGGAAATTAAGGACTAAATTCTTCATTTTGCCAATTACCACACTTCCTAGCCGCGATGTTTCAATAATGCATCTGAAGCGTTCGGTGGATGTTCGAAGTTCCCAGTTTAAATGAATCCCCTTACCCCCACATGGTATTTCTTAAAGCCTGTCCAACTTTCACGGACAGTCATTTGTGAATAAATATTTTAAAATCTTATTTGTCTGTATGCTTTAC